TCACATGCCTTTCCCTTCGCCCGCTCTCTGGCCTCCTGGCTTCCCCTTTCTCCTCCAACCTCCCCAAGACGCTGCCCACCTCCTGGGGTCACCGCCTTCCTGCGCACCCCTCTGGTCTTCCCTTGGCTGCATGGGGACAACCTGGGGGGACCGGCCAGCATCGGTGGCGCCCGTGGTCCCTCAAGCAGCCCATCTCCTGCCTGGTCCATTCCTTCTCTTCGTTGCTTTCACCCTCCCCCTGACCACCGTCCTGGCCCCGTCCTGTCCGTTCCAGCCCGTGGAGTCTGTCCCTGTCCCCACACTGCCTCTTTCTGCCGAAATGGCGGTCCCCTGTGCCATCCTCTCCTCCCTTCTCCCAGCACCTGGGGAGCCCTAGGGCACACAGCACCGTACCCCAGCCGCGTCTCAGGACCTGCGGCAGCCACCATCTCTCACACCAGGCTCTCACCATCTGGGGTGCACCCGGGCCTGGTCTCAGTGCCTGGTGCCCCGTGCCCTTCTTCCTGCGCCCCAGGGGCTGCCCGGGGCTTCTCACCCCTGAGCTCCCACCTGTAGCCTGGTGCCTTCCTGCCCCTTGGACACCTGTGTGGGCCGAGCCCCGGCCACCAACCTGAGCTGAGCGGCTGTGAGTGTGATGAGGGTTCCTGGGCTCTGTGCCCCTCCCACCATTCCCTGGGGCTGGGAGCCTCGGGGTGCCCTTTTGGGGCTCTGGCGAGGGTACGGGGTCGGCCCCAGGTGCCTGGCGCGCCCTGGCCGCCGCTCACTCACCGCGCTGCCCTGCTGGTGTTCCCAGGCTGGAGCTGGAGCCCGGCCTGAACCTCAGCACGCTGGGCTCCTGCCCTGACACCCTGCCCAGGGGGCTGGGCCACTCGGTCCCTGTGCCCCCTGCTGCCGGCTCGCCCAGGCTCCCGGGGCAGCACCCACTCTGGCCGACAGACCACCCGATCCAGAGGCAGCGCCTCCCACCAGACGCCCAGCCCTGCCAGGGCGGGGGGCCACCCCACCCCCAGATCCGGGCCTTGGGTGGGCCCGAGGCAGCCACGCCCCTTTGGACACTGTGGTTTGGAGGCCTGGCTTCCCCCAGCCCCTTCGGGCCAGCCCGGCAGGCTGCCGGCCCCGATCCTTGCCCTGCTGGCCACATTGGGGTCCCCAGAGGCCTCCGGGCATGGCTGCCCCTGGTGAGAGAGCCAGGCTCGGAGATTGCCACAGTGTCCGGGGTGGACGGGTGCCTACCGCGGTGGCAGAGGCCCCCGCCAGGGCTCTTCCCGCTTCTAGAGCCTCCCTGGGGGGCCGGGAGCCCGAATGCCATAAGGACGCCAGCAGGGTGACCTCGCCAGCCTCCTCGCTCTGTGCCAGCCCAGCCCCCACTTAACAAAGCCAGGCACCCAAGGACTGTAAGGCCAGACAGGCAGCCCAGAGTTCGAGTGATTTCAGAAAATGAGCGGGCCTGGGGTCCCCTGCCTCCCTCGCATCGTCCCTAACCCTGGCTGGGCCTGAGGGGAGCCTGAGGGGAGTCTGATGGGAGCTTGAATCACGCAGGGATGGCAGGAGGTGGAGGGAGATGTGGAGCTTGGCGTGGGGACACTGCTGGGGTGGGGCAAGCCCTGGGGTCCGGCCTGCTAGTCTGAAGCGTCCAGCTGGGCAGATGGGACAGGGAGGAACCGGAGTCCGGGTAGCCACACAACTGGCCGCAGCCCCAGGAATGAGCCAGATTTAAGAGTCTCGTGCTCTACCGACTGAGCTAGCCGGGCACCTAGGAAGGAGCCAGATTTAGACTAGAAATATGCTGCGGGTGCCCAGCTTGTCACGGAGGAGGCCGAGTCCCCTCTGGCATCCCCTGCCCTGCCCAGTGCCCAGGCGTGGGAGCTGCGAGAGCCCAGGCGGCTCCCAAGGAAGGACTGGGGTGAAGCCCTGGGCAAGGAGGCGGCCCCCCACTCCCAAGGTGACCTTGGGAAGCCAGCAGCCTCTCTAGGCCTGGCTCTTTCCCCTGTCACAGGGGCTAGGGATCAGTCCTTTACATACAGAGAGACATTGACCACATGAGGGTGTGGACTGTCACCAGCCTGGCAGGGCCACAAGTCCCCGTGGGTGTCACTAGGGTGTCAGGAGCCTGGAGAGTGTGGGGTCAGTGCCGGCCTTGGGCACCTCCATCTGCAGTTCAGGGGATCTGCTCGAGGCGAGGGACTCTCCTGCTCCCAGCTGTCCCGCAGCCGGAGTTCCCAGGGAGTTCCCGGGGACACTTCTTCTGCCCCCACCCCCTGGCCTGCCACCGCAGGCCCCCCTGCCCCTGCCCAGGTCGTCAGGGGCTCATACCCAAACTTGCTCCACCCTCGGTGGAGCCGGAGCTGCACTGTCTGCACTGTCCTTGCCCCAGTGTGCCCCCTGCTCACCCAGGCAGCAGCCTGGTGCCGGGACTGGGTGACAGAGACAAAGCCACAGCTGGGCCAACACGTGTGGCCCCGCCAGGCCCTGGGGCCTTCCTAGCATTCCTCAGAGGGCCTCGGTTCCCCAATCCCCTGGTTAGCCCCAGGATTGACCCCAGGCCCTGCCCATGCCCAGCCCCTGGGCCACGAAGCTCCCTGGAGGGCTACAGTGGCGACTCCTGGGAGGTCACATCCCAGCCTGGCAGATCCTGAGAAGGATTCGTGGGGTCCCCCTCAGGAGTAAGCAGGGTGGGCTGCCAGGAGCAGCCAAGCAGGAACCCTCAGACCCCGGCCCAGGTCCCGGTCCAGCCAGGGTGACAGTCCCTGGGCCATGCAGTGTGTGGCAGGGAGAGAGCCACCACTCCATGTCTTCAGGGACCTGGGGAGCCGGAGCCGCTGAGCCCACGCGCACACCCTGCCTCTCCTCCCTCCCAGATTCAGGGCTTCAGTGGGCCTAGGGGTGCCAAGAGGTGCCCATCCAAGAGCTTGCCCAGTATGCTCCATGCCATCAAAGGAGGCAAGGGGCCAGCTCATGGCCTGGCAGAGGACAGTCCTCCCAGCTTGGGAGAAACTGAAGTAGGCTGCCTGGAGGGGTCAGCATTTCATCTGGGCCTTAGACGCCTGGAAGGGTTGAGGAAGAGGAAGGGCATTGCAGGCGGCTCAGAGGAAGGTGGTTATGGGGCCCTTGTGTGGAGCAGTGGCTCTCAGCCCACCTACGGCTCAGCTCCGCGAAGCCTCTGGCCCTCTACCTCTGAGCCCTCTCCGGGGCACTGGGAGGCGGGTGTCCTCACAACACTACTTTACAGAGGAGGAAACTGAGGTCCAAGGCCTGAGGAGGCAAGAGGCAGGATTTTGGCCTGGAAGGGTTGTGAGCCCGAGGCTGAGCAGTCCCCACGGCCCGCAGGGCTGCCCACGCAGGGCTGGGGTGCTGAGGGCCGCGTGGGACTCTGAGTCCAGTTTCCTTGTCTGTAAAGTAGGGGTGAGGGATGGTCCCAAGGCGGCGGGCCGCAGGCGAGGCCTCAGAGCCGTGTGAGGGTGTTTTCTGTCCCGGGAGCACCGAGCCCTGCGGAGACCCCTGGGCCTCCGGGAGCAGAGTGGCCGCCTCTTGAGGCCCAGGGGTACAGGTGG